GTTTTTTATTCTTATATTTTTTACTGGACATTAAACCCTGCACCTAAAATTGATAATCTTTATCAAGTTAATGTCACAAGCAACCCGGACCCAACAGTACATTACGGGTTAATGTTCACAGCCCTATAATTTGCTATCTCGGGTGTAAAAGATCCGTTAGTACTCATGAAGCCATTTAGCAGAGATTATAAACGATGATTAGGGTTATCTCCAGTCGTCTGGTTACTATATTTTAGTTTTTGGGCGTTATTTTGTAATTGGCCAGACTTATCCGCCAGAATCGATGGTGAAAACATCATGTCCAAAACATCAACATGCCAAACGTCAAGACCATTATCTTTTAAAAAAATTCTGGCAAGCATTTATTCACTGACCTAGGTAGCTCAAAGACTTCAATGTATGTTAATCCAAATAATAATATGGATTCTCATAGTAATTAACAATTCTCAATGAGTCTTCGCTCGAAAGTCCTTATCTCATTGGAGCCCTGAATTGACTAGCACACCGTTCTGTTAGATGATTTTTTGAATTGAGATAAATAAGTCCGACAATGTACGATTCACTAAACTATGCTCCTTTTCAGAACCAATAACTATTTACACTTCTAGATCTGTTTATTAGAGTAACACTGTTATAGTAAATAATTCTGGCCCCATGAGCAGGAAAATAATAGTATATTAAGGTTAGAAATATACACATGTGTGAGTAACCTGTTATCTCAATAAAAGTAATGGAAAAATTATACTGCTTCTCTTTGAAATGATTAATTAATATATAAATAATACGGTAGAGAGAGAGGAACAAGAAAATAGCTCTCTTTACCTGTCAAGAAGTTGCGTAACGACTATAGACAAATTATGACCAGCTTCTAACCGTCCCACACTATAGAGGTGATTCCCTCCCACCCTTTTAAAAATGTTCACCATAGTACTTACACAGTGTGTGCAAGATTAAAAAAACCCGCAAACATGTCTGGACATTTTGAAACGACATTTATAATTGAAAATATCTTATTGGCTGGGGATTATTGACATAGCAATATTTTTGTTAAATTTTTTTTAAGTAAATCTTCTATACGCACGCTTGATTTGGGGAGTAAGCTGGTGAATGCGTGACGAGGGCGTTTCGAAAAGTGTGATCGGGGGAGACGAACGGAAGTTGAGAGGGAGATATAAGTTAGTAAAGATAGAAAGAGAAGTTCGGAAGTCGTATATTACTGTAGAGGCAAGAGAGAGAGGTGCGAGCACACATTTTCTTTCTCTCTTTCTCTCATAGCCAAGAAGTTTTACTTCAGTCGTGTGGTCTAAAGCACACTCGTTTTTATATATACGAGTATATTCAGTACTTTTTCCTTCAGTTTAGTCGGACTTTTAAATCTTTTTATTAAAAGTGTAGCGACGTCAGAGTAGCTTGAGCCTCAATCAAATACTTACTATTTGCCAAGCCGCAGTCAAGCGGCCGTTTGTTTAAATGAACCGGTCAATAACTCTGCAAACGCTATTTAATGAATGCGTCACCACTTTGTTATATCTCACATAAAAGTACTTCTGAATTGTGAACTATTTAGGTTAATGTATCCTCGAAAGATGTTGTAAATTTTTTAGTTTCTGTGATTGCATCTCCACTCTCTAATGATGTAAAGTTGTGTAATTAAAAACGTATTTACAATTCATTACATGTTGAAATAGGTAATAAATTTAGGAAAAGGAATATACTTACTGGATATAATATATGCAGATGTACATAAGTATACGATGATTATTTCATGTATGAGACACATTAAAAGGAACATAAAAATATAACCTAGAAAACTTCTACAGCTAGTGGACTATAATAATTCTTTATAATCTTTTTTATTTTATTTAAATGACACACATACAGTTATTATTATCAAATAATTATGTATGACAATACAAAAACCAATTTGAAAAATCGATAGCCATGGATAAATTGATAAATAAAGGAAACATTGTTCAGCTATGTTATAAAAGACTCTTTTATCTGTAGACTCTTAAAAAAAAATACAGTGCGTAACTAAAAAAATCAAATGCCCATAGCTTTTTTCCAAGGTTTCTCAAACAAAAATTGTTTTACACATAGATTTAAAAAAGCATAATTTGTTTAAATTTTTTTCACTACAAGACTGCAATTTGATTTTGATATTTTTTTTGTATGTAAACCCGCCATTGTTCTTTGAAACAATAAGTAAAATAAATAAAGTGACTTCCAGCAATTAAAAGTGTGAATTCTTGAATATTAACAAATTTGGTTGACTTAAGTATTTTTATTAAAAATCTATAGATTTAAGCCAAACCCATCAAATATCAGTAAATTTATTTTTGCGTACAGATATAGCCTGATATACTTTAGAAAATCCTTAGTAGAAGCAAAAAAAATATAACGCTGGTATTTTACAGCAACAAATTAAGGACGGCTTAAGTGCACCCTTGAAAAGATTATTTAAAAATGCATATAATTAACATACGTCTGTTTTAAAATAAAAAACACAAAGTATTGTTCTTGTGGCACAGAGCGCGTCATTTCAAATTTTAATTTTATTCACCTTTGGTTCAGACTTTCTGAGTTACAAATAAAGACAGCCAGAAAAATGTTGAGCTTTAATAACATTATAGAAATAGAGTGCAATATGACTGTAGCGACTTGTTCAACTTTATGATTAAAACAACTTGAATTGTGATAGACAATAAATATACATGTAGTAATAATTTGTAAAAAAAAAAAAAAATATAAAAAGTTTTGAATATAAGCTAGTTGTGTTTTCGCTCATGAATAATTCCTTATACAATTAGTCTAGGAATCTTCACTTAAAAAAGAGAAGGTACTAAAGGTACTAAGAGAAGATTACAGTGACGTTGGTTTCAAATTTGCCAAAAAATCATTATCTGCTCTCAAGTCTGCTCAACATACAGATGACTAAAGAAACCACGCACAAAAATGATCAGCCACCACACACACCATTCACATAATTCCAAATTAAGAAGAACTTAGCTGCAAAAAATTTCTCCTAGATGGCACATCTACAGCCTTTAATAGTCCAACTCTTTACATAGGCCTCTCCTTAAAACGGAGGTTTTAGCCTAGTATTTTATAGGACTAGACTGGTTGATATAGGGTTTGTATCAAGTTTTCCTTCTCTTTGCAGTGCTGTTATCCAGCATAGTTAGCTCCCTTAGTCGTCTCTTAAGACACACACGTAAAGAATCGGGGTGGTGACACTCTGTATTCTTAACCGGTCACTTGGTTAACGTTACATATAGGATGTGACGTTAACCAAGTAACGTGTAAGAAACGTTTCAAATATTGACATCGCATATAAACACATGTTTCTGGAACAACGATCAAAGCGTTTCCTATAGAAACTATAAGTTGTACTTATGGTTTCTTTAGGCTATAACACTTTAAAAAAGGTACTAATTACAGAAAGTTAAGGTTCATTTTCAATCCTTCTCTCCAACACTTACGAAAATAATAATATTGGTAAGCTTATTTACTAAAACTTTCCACCTCACAAAATTTGTGTAGTTCGATTTTTATGTCTGCAAATCAAAAACGAGATGAATTAAGATATTTGTCACAAAGGACAGTTATTTATTCAATGAATTGTAAGACCTTATAAGAAATATCTCTGTTCTCGAAGCAGACTAAAACAGATGAACTATAATGATCAATCAAATCAGAACTAAATAGAGCGTGTTAATATTGCAATTTCTTCATAAGAAAGTATTTCAATGAACAGTAGAATTCCATTACAAAAAGCGTTTTTTTTATCTTTAAAATAATAAATATTTTTAATAGAAAATATATTCCACAAAGTAGACAAGTCTAGCTTTCGCAACATCGTTTTTGATAGAAAGGAACGAAGGATACGAACTACTCAGAACACTTTCAGCTTTTTTTTTCACTTTTCGTTTATCAACACTTTTATGAATACGTACTATACTCATTAGTGCAAAATGAGATACAAGTGTGTTATTTTATAATCAAATGAAAATACTTTTAAAAAAAAGTGTATGTACTCGAGCATCCGCACAGAGCAATTGTAGAACTTTTTGGATGTAGTACAGGCTGAGAAAGTTCAGTTCGGAAAAATTTAACTGGCTGGTTTTCCAACGTGATAATTCGGGTAAAAGTATTAGTTTAAAAAAAATACTCTGGAAAAGTGTTAGTGGCAAGGTTTTGAAAAAAAATGTAACAGGTGCGAATAACCGAATTGCATTTTATTCGATAAGACTTGCCCTACAACCTCTGCAAAGTCACCTTCTACTCACACTGTCTATAGTATAATACAACGCGATGGCACATCCAATAATTTATTTATAAGCAAACTTTGCAGTAGAAGGATATAATGACACTGCGTGCCTAGATACATGTTTATACCCTACTTCGGCTATAGACACGGCCATCATGTTTGTTAACATGTAATAAAATGCCTTAGATGAAAAGTACTTAAACTACTGTAAACAACTTATGAACAGCTTTGTCTAAAAAATTATAGTTTTAGAAAACTAAAAAATACGCTTTCTATAGAAAACCAAACTAAAAAATAGAAAATAAATTTGAAAAAAGCGTTGGGTGCTTTTTACTATTGACAACAAGCAGCCAAAGCTTTTTTTCAAATTTATTTTCTATAGAAAGCGTGTTTTTTAGTTTTTTTAAACTATATTTTTTTAAATTAGTGTATTGTCATCGGTCCTCGATATATCTACAAAGTTTGAAAGAATTCTGACCGTTTAAAGTCAGTCAAAATCACGCCCAAAGGAGTCGGTTACAAACATACAAACAAACATACAAGTGAAGCTAATATAAAGCGTGTAAAAATCAATACTTTTATAAATACTTCGCAATTACATTCTATGTTATCTACATATTTTTTAAAATATTGGTTTGTTTGTACACAGTCATTAACTTGATATACTATTGTATGTATGATATACTAAGCTGGTGTACAATAAAGCTTATTCCATTTTATTAATATACAGACAATGTGGTACTCGTGGAATCAATGGCCATCATCCAGTACTTGGAGGAAACCCGTCCGCAGCCAGCCCTAATACCAAAAACACCGCTGCTAAGGGCACGCATGAGAGAAATATGTGAGGTACAAAAAAAATATATCTTATCTCTATGCTGAATTTAAGAAATTATAACTTTTTTCTATAATCTGTTAAAAACTAAAACTTTAGGACTATGAAATGTGTATCTTTATAAAACAGGAAATAAAACATAGTTAAAGAATTCATCAAGTGCTGGGTACTTATAAAATACTAATAGATCCGAAAGTACTGTTTACTAAGACTAAAAATACGCACGCAAAAATAAATCAGCCGAATCCATTCATATTGCATTCAGCGACAAATGGATTGCTAAAATATTAACCCTACAGGGTTTATTAATATTTTAACAAGTAACAACTTCATCTTGCAGTTAGTTTTCTATGATGGTTCACTGTTAAGATTACAGAAAGAGTTCCCTCCTTGTAAATTTGAATATCTTTAGACCATCGTTCCCGCAAGCCCAATCTATTGCTCGTCAAAAGAAATCATCTTAGGGCGATGGATTTACTAATAGTTCCTGTTAAAGACCAGAGTTCTTATCATCAGATAAGCTTCACTTTGCGAAATTCTGGTATTGTCATCCTAACCACATATTCATACAAGTTTAGATACTACAATTATAAGTAGGTTAAAATAGACTCCTGAGATGTACTACCAATTTAGTTAGCGGTTAATTACTATTAGACTTGAAAATTAAAGCGTATTAAAACCACTAATTTGTAACAACAGTTTCTGTAGTCAAAATTGTGAATTCTGAGATCAATGTTTTAAAACAAATAAATCTTCAAGTTTATACTCTTAATACTTCAAATACTTGTTAAGGACGCAGCTAATAAACATTACCTACACACTTAGGCTCGTTTATAATTTTGTACCTTCTACGTACACACGTATTGTACATTAGGTATGTGAAGCCCATAAATCTTATGCCTGCGAGGGGCCTGTCAAAACAGTCTACTAATAAAAAGGACTAATGACTAAAGTTTCTCAATTTCACAACGAAACTCTAAAATGCGTAGGTAGTATTTACTGTCCTCGTCGACAGTGGACATTAGGACAATCGGTATGTTTAAAGACCCATTTAAAATAAGAATAATTATGTTTAAAAACATGTGTGTGAAATTACAACGTTTTGTTGTGTATCATCGTGGGATAGCCATGCTATGGCGCACATAGGCCAGATCGACTGGAGTAATACCACAGTCTCACATTAAACCGGTGTTAATCATTTCTGTTCACTGATTCAAAAAGGTTACCGAAGGCCCAATCTCTGTGTCCATCCTAGTTGTCCTTCTAATATCTTAAATCGATAAACTATTTTTCATGTATTTACATGTATTTTTTCATAAATTGTTAAATTACCTTTTTACAGATTGTGGTATCAGGCATCCAACCTCTACAAAACTTTGGTTTAAAACCCCAATTTGAAACGGAAGATCAATTCCAGAAATTCACCAAACACTTCTCGGAACGCGGGTTTGAGACCTTAGAAGATTTAGTCCAAAAATCAGCAGGAAAATACTGTATCGGAGACCAGATTACCATTACAGTTTTATAACGCTTATTCGAGGTACAGTGAGTTTTATTTTCATTTTTTATGCAACCTTCATTACTAAGATAATAGGCACCTACAGAAATAGTAATGAAACTCTATTTAAAAAACCTGAAAGTACATTATTTAGATTCTAAATGTTAGAAGAAGAAAAGTATTTTTAATAAATATAAGATTCTAATTTACAGTTAATATGGAGTGAGTGACAAGGAGAGGCCTATGTCCAGCAGTGGACTAGTATAGGCTGTTGATGTGATGTGATGTGATGTGTGTGACAAGAATAATTTAAAAAGCTTGGATTGTAATAAACAATATTTCCATTAAAAAATACTTTTTAGTCTCATTTCAAGAAATTGATTTTTGTTAGAACTTGTATTTATTTACGTTTGAATGTCTCTCACGCAAACATATTTGTTCCAATCAATTTCTTTCTTATTTGTGAAGTCGTTTCTGTCGTTTCGCCAGTTGCTAACGTCGCACAATTGCTTCTGAAAATACTTTCCCTATTTACTTAACTTTTCCCCTGACACCTCTATGGAACTAATATACCAATATATAACCAAAAACTCTACGACCAAAGCATAATTCATGTTAAAACAAGTCTCAAACTTTTAAAATAAAAAACGTTTCGGGTGCACAAAACATGTTTTAGTCTTATATTTATTTATTTATCACTTTATGCACAACGTGTACAATGGTGGACTTAATGCTACAAGCATTCTCTGCCAATCTACCTTTGGATTATGTAGCAATGAGTTATAAGGTATATATGCAGGAGTAAGAGTAGGCATTAAAAGTATATGAGAGTGTTATGGCCTATTAGTTTTTTAGGTATGAATGAAAAGGAGCTCGGAATGGTTTATGTAATATATACATAGGTCGAACGTCACACGAACTTGGCGGACACACTGTCGGATGTCTAGATGCTAGCGCTCTTTGCATGGTAGGCCTATCTGTTTTTCTTCCATTATGTGCGGCAAATATAAGAGCCACTAACCCTAAAAAAGTCTAAATTTAAAAGATAAGTATAATATTTTACTATCATCTCAAGTTGCGAGGGCTTGACTAATCTGTTTGGATTTAATTTCGCCCTTGTCACAAAGTTATAATCTAAAAACATTGTCCTCAAAATATTAGGTTTTAAAAGTTTAAATATAAAGTCAATGTTTTCGATAGATTTAGAGTTTGGTACATTGTAAATTGGTATTTTTTTAAATTATATTTTTGCTTTACAGATATTCGTTGGACTCGGCGAAGTATCCTACAATTTCCGAAATATATAACACATTGTTGCAGCATGAAGTTTTTCAAAAAACTCACCCTAAAAATGTTAAACCTAAAAAGTAAAACAAAGATATTTCAAATGAAAATCTATTCCTCTTTTATTTTTCAACCAGCTTTTACCCACGGCTTCGCTCGCGATAATTTCAATTGTGTCAATATATTATGCCAGTATAAATAGTAGTATCTGGGCTATTCTAGACTATAATCTATCTATGTGCCAAATCTCGTCCAGACCCAGAAAGCCGTTTTGGAGTGATTGATAATTAAAAAAAATACGTTTTGAAAAGTAAAAGAAAAGATGTCTAATTTTTATTATTTTTGATATAGAATATACTGTGAGTTTGGAATCGATTAGATAAAAGAAAATAGTTTCCTATACACATATACCCTTTTTAAGGGCAGTCAAAAATGAATAAAAAAGTTTTTTATTACTTTTAAGAGTAGAGTAAGAGTATCAACTGTAAGTTTGGAAACACTACTACCAAAAATAACGAAGTTTCATATAAAATTCCAACCCCCATTTTGCGCCCTTAGCGGTCGAATTCTACTAAAAGGAAATCTTTTAAGTAATCAGACTTCTTTCAAGCCAGTTTAAAAAAAAAATTAGCAATAAAACCTTTTCACATAACGATTACTTTTGAATTTTTTAAACTAACACAAGATTGTGCTATTCACAGAATTTTAATACAAATACATATTTTATATGCAATACTGTACGTCGGTAGAACTTTCGGACACTCCTTAAAATTAGTTTATTGGTAAGAAAAGTAAACGTTACTCTCTCAAGATAATTAATTTAAATCTGCGTTTGTTTGAGGACCATAACACAAAGAATTAAGTATGCCTTAAGAGGGCGTATAAAGCAAAATTACCAATCTTATTTTTGATTTTACATGAAAAATTCCGGACCAAATCTTAAAATAAAAATGTATGAATAACTACATGATATTTCCGAGGGTTCACTTTGATCAAAAACATGAAATAATAACATTTCCTCGATAGAAAAAATCACGAAGTAACCTCTAATTCTAATATTTTTCCGTTTTGTACTCGATATGGTAATGCCTATTGCGACAAAAATTTGATAATTAATTATACTTATACAAGAGTAAAGGCTTTGTTTAGGCATTTTATGTAATTCCTTTTAGTTTTGGATTTAGACGATATAACAGTTTTGGCGCATACTACGTTTTTATTCCGCGCAAGAAGTCATCGTCCGTCGCACGTTGCGGGAACTTCAAGCATATTTCTATTTCAGACATCAGTCGCACAGAGTACATTGTAATATACTGAAATAGAGGTATATCTCAATCGCTTTTGGAGGAAATTACAAAACAACGCCATCTGTTAGGAGCGAGCAACAACTTTTCTCTTACTCAACATTTGAAAGGATATATTTATATCTACATATATATAATATAGGTAATACTTATTGTATACAGTATTGTTTATATTATGTACAAATATACCTATGCAATTAGAACTTTGTAAAATAAAACAATGTATAAAAAAAACGTTTATTTTCTTCTTTTCAAGACAACAACGTTTAACAGACATTGCAACACAAAAATAAAGCGTTAAAAATAAGTGTCTCTACTTCAATACTACTCGAAAACAACACACATGGATAACAAAGATCAGAAGAACCTAGGCTCAACTCACGCATTAATGAAGATATCAGAGAATAATTGTTATTAGTTTCAAGCAAGTAAACATTCAACAACCAAAAAAATGCCGTTATGAATGTCATGTTGACGGACAACATTCATAACGACAGCTGTTGCAAATGTTGCTGCATTAACGCTGATGAAAAGTACCAAAACAATGGCAATAATGAAATGATACAGGCACTAAGTTAGGATTTCTTAGAATCGTGTGTATTAAAGTGCTAAAATTTTTTTAAAGTTTTCAAAAATTTTAATTTAAGTCTACATTTACCAATTTTATCATACAAAATAACTACCAACTCAATGTATAAAAAAAATAATGGCAACATTTAATTTCCAAAAGTCATTTTATAATGATTCCAGAAAATAGTGATATACGTTCCGGGATAATTAAAACTAAAACAACTCACTTTTTGTTTTATGCGGATTATACCGAAAGTAACGACATCTATAAGTATCGACTGGCGAAGTACACACGCATTATACGCCTAAATGAAGTGTACGTATTGTTGTTAAAAGGACAATGGCAGGTCCCCATACATAATTTTATTTGAACTGAAATGTTAGCGTTTAAATATCAAAAAATCCTTAACACTTGAGAATTTATTCTTGACCATTCTCATATCAAAATTACTTGCGAAAGAAGTCTAGGAAAAAAGATATTGGATTTTGAATGTTTCGAGGTTAAGTACTAACATATTGTTAATGTTTTGTTTGAAACTAGATGGCGTTGTGTGTCAGATAGCCGAAAATATTATTTTCATTATTATTACAGTATATGAAATAAAAGCATGACATCTATTCGAGTTTAACACTAAATTAAACAAAAATAAAATAACAAACGTGGTGAGTGCGGAACTTGACAGGATCTAAACCACAGATTAAGAGATATGTACTAAACGACGACGTATCGACATTTTGAAAATATCGATGTATGTCTATTTATGTGCCGTTATCAATGACAATGTATTTTTCTCATCACACTGTGTAGTGGAAAATAACGTAACTATGTTCTATTTCTTTAGTGTGTTTAAAATCGTTTAAAGAGAGTCAAAAATATTTTAAATCATTTCTAATTATGTTGATTCAGTCACTCTACCGTACGAGTGAAGACGTGGGCAGAAGCAAATTCATAATCATAATAGTGAACCTTCGGTAAATATTTCAGCCAAAGCTATAAGAATCGATTATCGATAAATTGTTCCATAATATAATATTGCCACCACGCATCCCTAGTTAGTTATACGTGATGGCGAATCTGACATTACGTACTTGGGTCAAATAAAATCTTCAAAAATATCTTATCTCTTATAAGACTTATACAACACATGGTGGTGTAATGATAAATCATAGAAAAAAATTTGATTAAGTTTACTGTGACTCGATTTTTTAAACGCTTAAGTTTTAGGTAAATATGTTTCTGCCATTGTTCTTTTAGAACAAATAAAAAACCATTGTATTTGGGTTCATTATTTTCGTAACATTCCCATTATTGACGACTAAGATTGTACCGCCTGATCAGTCGCTACCGCTCCGTTGAGACGAGAGGACTGCGCTCAAGTGTTTAGGCGCGCCGAGTTATTATCAATTCAATTATTAGATTATTAGGATAGGAGGTACTAAATTAGATATATAATAGGTAGCTATTTACTTTTGCTTTTTGTTATATTATTCTTCACAATAAAAAAATCTGATCATTTTCCCCTAGTGTAATTATGATATCTTCCAAAAGTCTACTATTCTATAAAAATATTAAAATAATAATAATTACATTCTCCATAATTCTATGATCACTCATAAGTAACGCGGGCAGTATAGTTTGGTATAGTATATGCAAAATAAAGACAAGCTTTTAGTTGGTGTCTGTGTTTGTTCGATGAAATATATTTATGTCGATTTGGAAGCTATTCAAGTATGTCCATTAGGTATTTAAAACCTATTTTTAACCGACTTCCAAAAGAAGGAGGTTATCAATTCGACTATTATGTTTTTTTTTGTGTGTTTGTTACGCGATTACTCCATTTATTTTGATTGTTCTTTTTTTATTTGAAAAATTATACTCCTGAGGTGGTCCCATTTAAATTTGGTGAAGATCTGATGCTGGTCTTCGGAGATATACAATGGAACTCTTCAAAAATAGACGTTAAATCGGTCGTGATGGCTGCAATCGCTTGGATGTTTATATGCTTGTCAAATATTTTTATAGGATATTACAAATAAAAATGGAAAAATAAAAAAAACTTTTTTGCAAAAAAAAAAACCGACATCAAAATAAATACAAATCGAACACAAAAAGAAAATCACTAAAAAGTGAAAAATAACTTTAGCTTCAGAAGCCGGTGACAAAAATACCAAATCAATCAAACAAAGGTCAAGCTTCAGAAGCCGGTGACAATAACACCACATCAATCAAACAAAGGTCAAGCTTCGAAGTCGGTGGTTGTGGGCTTCGGTTTCCGCATTTAGACTCAGAGTGGTCCTTTATGCTTCGAGGATTGGTTGACTAGGTGAGCCAGCCAAGCTCCTTCCAGAAGCGCAGAAGCCTCCTGGGGCGTTCACAGGCTTCTAGGAGCGACTTTATATCAGGAATGATACTTGCCCGTTGTATGGCCACTCTCTCGCATTCCAGGACTACGTGGACGGCCGTTTCTTCAGCTTCCAGACATCCCCTGCACAGGGGACTGTCCGTCGCATTGATTATGAATAGTTGTCGGTTCAGGGCTAGATGTCCTGTAATAGTTCCGACAACCATTCTGATTTCCGGTCTGCTAAGACTGATCAGTCTGCAGGTGAGTCGTGGTGTGACTTGATTCAGCACCAGTTTGGACTGTCTGCAGCCGGGTGAGTTTTTCCACCTCCGGTTGTGTGCTTCACAGGTCCGTTGCCTGACCTAGCATCGTATTTGGTTAAGCATCGTATTTGAGTGGGGTTGGGCCAGAGGTTGGGGTTGCCGAGCCCCTCCTTGCCAACTCATCTGCGGCATCGTTCCCGTGTGAGTTACTGTGCCCTTTAATCCATTGGAGGAGTACCCCATTGAATATAGCGAGCTGTTCCAGTGCTTGGTGGCATTCGAAGACAATACCAGAGGTCATTGTGTTGCCCTCCAATGCCTTTAAGACGGCCATGCTGTCGGATATTATTCGGATGTTGTAGTCCTTGATACCCCTTGACATGGCCGTTGTGGCAGCGTAAGTTATTGCCACACATTCACATTGAAATATGGAACTGTGTTGGCCTAACGCTAGTGATATGTTTATATTTAGGTCTTGCGAGAAAACTCCGGCTCCAGTTCCTGACCTAGTCTTGGAACCGTCCGTGTAAATTCGGATTTCGTTAATGCCGGATTGATCTCGGTCATTTCCATGTATCTGGATGTAGTATCTTCTTGTGAAGATA